TTTTATTTCCAGGTATTTACATCTGGATCTGATACACAACTTAGAAGATAGCATTATTTGTTACGGAACACCAACTTTTTTAGGTGAGCAAAAGTGTTGTAACAGATGGACTTAATAGATTAAAGTGAATAAGACTTAATATTTAGTTGCAATCCTTTGCAACTGCATCAAGCCTGTGACTCACTGACATCACCAAACTTTTGTATTCTTCTTTTGTGATGCTTTTCCAGGCGTTTGTTTTGGGGGCTTACTCCCTTCAGTCTCCTCTTTAGCAGGTAAAATGCTCTATAGGGTTTAGGTCTGGAGATCGACTTGGCCAGTCTAAAACCTTCCACTTCTTGCACCTAATGTGTGCAGTGTGTTTTGGGTCATTATCTGGCTGCATGATGAAGGATCTCCCAATCAGTTTGGTTGCTGGTTGTTTCTTTCTTTAAATTGGCAACATGTTTCTGTAGACTTCGGAGTTCATTTTGCTGCTGCCATCATGGGTTACATCATCATTGAAGATTAATGAGCCCGTCCCAGAAGAAGACATTACCTCCACTGTGTTTCACAGATGAGCTTGTATGTTTGGGATCATGAAGAGATCCTTTCTTTCTCCAAACTTTAGCCTTTCCATCACTTTGGTAAATGTTAATCTTTGTCTCATCAGCCTCTGTACTTTTGTTCATGAAGTCTTCTGCGAACAGTATATTGTGATAGCTTCACTCCTGCCCTCTGGAGGTTCTAGTTGATGTCACTAACAATTGTTTTAGGGTCTTTTACAGCTCTCACAATGTTTCTGTCATCAACTGCTGCTGTTTTCCTTGGTCTATTTTGCATCTTCTCTCAGCTTCACAATTGCTTGTTTTTCACCCATAGACAGCTCTCTGGTTTTCATGTTGGTTACACCTCTAACTATAAATGCAGTATGCACAGGCAAAACCCAAATCTGAAACTGAGCATAGACATTCAGCGCAAAACACACCTGTCAACCACATGTTCCAATACTTTTGCTCACATGAAAAATGGATGGGTTCAAACAAAAGGTGCTAACTTCTAAGTTGTGTATCAGGTCCAGACGTAGCTGGGAAAAAAAGCTGAAATGTTGACCTCTTGTCTCATATTCATCTTTTGATGTCAAACCCATATACCAGCATGTAAACATTCTGTAGGCTATAAAACTGGGAAGGTAATTTCATATCTATTCATTCATGTTAGACAGACAGGACAGACAGACAGACAGACAGAGAGACAGACCAGACAGGACAGGACAGACAGACAGACAGACAGACAGACAGACAGACAGACAGACAAAGACAGACAGACAGAAGACAGACAGACAAGATCAGACAGATCATGATCAGATGATCAGACAGACAGCAGACAGACAGACACGGACAAAGGACAGACGCTGTTTTTGGTTGATTCTGGTGAAGGCGGGTAGGTCTAACCTCTACACTAAATCGTAGTTTATGAGTAAAAAGTTATGGAGAAACATTATTCCTACAAATCCTGTCAATTAGCTCCATTAGGGCTCTCATATTTTCACTGAAAGTCCGCCATACGCTGTGGGGAGAATGAGCGGCATCATTGTCAGTAACATACATTTAATACAATTCTGAAACAAATATGCGCCATGGAAAAGTATCATTATACTTCAGAGTAGGTACTTTCCCTATGAGCTTTTTCAACAGAATTTCATGGTAAACCAACATCTGCAAAGACCGAAAATGTGGAAACTGATAACCAACCGTATACTTGGCGGATAATCGTCTCGTGAGCATGAAAGCAAACACCCAATTCACAATACACTGAGGTTCTATTTGGGAACCAAATACACCTTAAACCTCCCTCCCTATGTGTGAAAAACAAGATGTTTACACATGGAATGCGTATTCGGTGTGCAGGAAAACTCCAGATTAGGAAGCTGTGGTGGTTAGGGAAGGCGTCTCTGCTTTATGTTATGTGTTACAGGTAAAAAAGACAGCTAGTTCCATAACAGGAAATTCTGTCAGTTTTGTAGCCTATAGAACGTTTACATGCTAACTCACTTGTTTTTGTTTGATAAAGTCCTAAACCAAAGCAAGAAGAGTGGCGGACCTTTTCTTTTTCAGTCATCCATAGACCAACTTTTGGCAGCCACGAAAATACACCAAAACTGCTCCTAGTAATAAATATTTCAGCTGAGGTCACAGAGTGTGAGTAAATCCAGATGGTATTCACCTTCGTGGCCCATATTTTATGGAAAGAAAAACAAGACTATTACGGAATCTTAATGAGAATGAATTTGGCGTGAAGGATCAGTGTCCAGGTGTATGAAGTCTGGGTAAGGAGGAACGTCCCAGGATAGTAGATGATACATTAATTTTACAAACACGAAGTAGTAAACCCAAGACATGATCAAAGATGTATATGTTCTCCTGTTACTGTCTCATCACATAGTCCATTGTCAGAAGAATATAAAAGGATGAAACCTTGCATTCTGTATTGATACATTATAAACTTTATGTGGTGTGAAGCTGCCTGATTCAATTAGTAATTTATATTCCAGACCTCCGGTTACCAACCTGCAGGTGTCCAGGCCATTTTTTGTGTACTTCCTTTGTGAGCTCAGGCCTGAGAATGACACTCGTATTCATGCTGGGGAGCCAGGAGAAACTCAGTACATTGGGGTCCATGTAGTTCTGAAATAACCAAAATTCAAATTAAATTGTGCTTTTGAGGTATATTTTCTCCTGATAACACAAACATGAAGACTCTCTCTCTGTGTGAAAAACATATGATGTACACATAATGGTATGCAGTGCCTCTCACTATAAGTGTGGAGGAGAATTCCATATTAAAAGTGTATGTAAGGAACATCTTATTTAGGATATGTGTAGGTAAAAAGACAGTTATGTTCATCTTATGTTTCTATATAAGGAGATAAAGTGTGAGCTGGAGCGATTCTCATAGCAGGAAATTCCGTCATTTTTGTAACCTACAGAATGTTTACATGCCAGTATAAAAGAGCTGGACTCGAAAGAGAAAATTCGGCCAGAAGATGCATCTGACACACTCACTTGTTATTGTTTAATAAAGTCCTAAATTAAAGCAAGACGAGTGGCGGACCTTTTCTTTTTCAGTCATCCACAGACCAACTTTTGGCAGCCGCAGAAATACACCACATTTTCAAATGTATAAAACATTGGTTCATTTTTATTATGTTCGGTTACTTACAAAGTAGTTGCTGCAGTGGTCACTAGAAGAGAGGTGGCGTGCAATATTGTCTGGTCGACACTTTTCCTCACAGACATGGCACAAGTAAAAATAGATCTTTGTGTCTAGGCTGAAACAAAAAGTCAGCAGAGACAAGCCTGGAAGAAAGTACATTTAAAATAGAATAATTAATTCCAAATATTTCCTCATAACAGAGAATAAATTATTTCTCCTTTTATTTCCGGCTATGTTGATAAGGTATATGATCCTGTGAGATTACTTGTCAAGATAATCTGCCAAATTTAAACACATGGAATCAACTTGAAACTCTGTAAAGCAATGTGTCTGTTACACACACTGGATGTATTATCCTCAGGTCAGGAATGAAGGCCACTTACAAGCTTTTTCTAGAGCTTTTTAAGTACTGTTTTGTCAAACTACTATTCGTAAGGTCAAGAATGTACTTGCGCTTAACAAACCTATGGTGCGCTGTTTGGCTTGCTTATCCATCCCAGTAATGTAGGGAAAGAAGCCTGTAGAGCAAATGACAATGAAAGAAAGAAAGAAAGAAATATTACACTTCAGCTACTCAGATCAGCCCACACTAGTCTAATCCTAAACTTCAAATTAACAGGTGAAGTGATGGACATTGACAGTGAAATTGTTGTATTAATAACTGTGTTATCAGTTTGAACAATCGCAGTCTAAATAGTTTAAAGATCTTCTTCTACAATAGATTAATGACATCCTTATAGAGAACAAGTGCCACCAGCTGTTTGTCTTGAGCCAACTCTTTGTTTGCACGACTAAAGGATGAAAACGCAAAATAATTCACTTTTTCTTTTGAAAATTCAATAAAAAAAAAATCTTGCTGCATTCACATGGAAACCCGACTAGAGAGGAGGGAATGAATCGTACAAGTGGGCACAAACTTTTAGAGAGCCTGTTAATAATGATAATAATGATAATAATGATAATAATGTCACATTTGGTAAAGCGTGAAGCATGTTGTGTGAGGAAAGGGGGTTTCTGTCAGACAATCCAAAAGGCTTTGAGGTTCCTTGTGGAGTTTTTGTCGACTAGAAGTGCTATGGAGCTGTTTTTTAATCTTTCTGAACCTGAATCCAGTATAAAATCAACTTATCAGAGCCAAACCAAATCTCCTTAAGTTTAACTTTCATTGTTTGCAATGATAAAAGTTATACATAAGTACAACTTTTTTTTTTTAAAGTATTTTTTGGGGCTTTTATTGCTTTTATGATAGTGAGGACAGCTGAGACAGACAGGAAACCACAAGAGATGAGGGGATGACACGCAGCAAAGGTCCCAAGGTCGGATTCGAACCCTGGGTCACTGCAGCAAGGATTTAGTTTGTGAACACAGATTGTCTGTGTTCACAAACTAAATGTAAAAACTACTAAAACTAAAAGTATTAGGACACAGCTTTGCAAACGTGGAACAGGGAAATGCATTCAACATATCTTTTAGACAGTACACAAGAACTTGTACAAGCACCGTAAACACTAGCAAACAAGAAGAAAAAGAAGCAGGCTTACCACAACCCTTGAATGTATCTAAACAGGTAAAAGAAAGAAAAGAATTAGTGAACTGGACACTGAATATAAGTAACACATTTATTGATTCCAGAAACAAAAGAAAACACATAGTAAACAAAAATGAGAGCCTGTTTATACCTGAGGGCTGTACTACAAAGGGAGTTTAATCCACACAGATTTAATTCAGGGTTATTAAGGAAAGTCAGGGTTGACAAACTCTGGATTCGTTTTCCGTTTTTTGATTCTGACGCCAAAAACAGACAGACAAAAAAGAAATTTATGTCGTTGGGTTTTTTTAAAGGACAAATTAATTACAGTTTATCAGAGGATACCCAGAAACACGTTCAGCAAGACAGGCAGTTTTTTTCATAATGGCACATGCTCTTTATTTGTCCCCAGTGTGTCCCCAGCATTATGATAATATCAGGCTATGTGGAGATTACATAAAAGTTAATGGCCAAATCTCACCGTGGGGACCAACAAAGCCAGAAAGGCTTGTCACATTGTTTCTCTTTCCACTTTTTTCTCAGCAAGATTATGGGCGGAGGAGAAATGATTTATAGTAAAGCTGAGTTAACCACAAAGATAACTTGCTCTGAGAAGTTCAGACAAGGAGCAATGACAAAGTTACTCCAGAGTTACCTGGATAAGTTACCCAGCTTCATAGTACAGCCTCTGGTATTATGTCTTGGGTGATCAAATCACAAGTGGACAGTTCTAAATACAAGTTTTAATGACCACGAGACGCATTGTGATCACATCACTCAAACCACTTGCTCAGGTGGTCTAGGACACATTTGACCACATATTTATTAGGGCTGCTCGATTATGGAAAAAATCATAATCACGATTATTTGGGTCAAAATTGAAATCACGATTATTCAAACGATTATTTTCTTAAACATGCTGCATTTATTGGACATTTGCAAAAACACTTTTGCAAGGAATCCTCAGTTACACTTTCCTTTCCCATAAACATTTGTAAGTTCTCTCGTTACCTTTTTAAACGAAAACAAGCGTAACAGGGAGAAGACTGCATCTAGTGTCGCGACCACCAGCGCAGTATAAATAGTTACGGCGCTCCCGTGACTTCACATTGTCGCGCGACAGGGTCCGGAACGGCGAGTATACCGAGCATGACTCGTGTGCAGTGCATGCTGTGGGGGAGGGACGGAAATACGCATGCGCGAAATACGCAGACTGTATACAACGTTGCACAACAGAAAATGAAAAAAAATCGTTTCCCCCCGATTTTATTAGTTTTGAGATCGTTTGGCCCCAAAATCGTAATCATGAATTTTTCGATTAATTGAGCAGCCTTAATACCAGTGCTGGGTAAACATAAAAATAAAACAAACTACAGACTTAAGCATCTCTGCCTTGTTGCAGCTCAGTCTATTTCTCTTATCATCATCAGCCACTCACTGTCCGTACTGCTGCATGGAGTACATATGCATTTGTGTGCAATTTGTGCCAGTGCTGGAAAACGGAGGTAATTATTTCTCCAATATCCAAGTAGGAAATAACTAGCACAACATGTATCCAGCACAAAATTGATTTGTTACAACAGATAAATATTGGCCACTGATACCGGTGCATGTGCAGATAGGTAGTCAGTCAACAAGGCGAATGCATTCCTAAGAATTGGTGTTGATGTCAAATTGTGTTGTGTGCTCTCTGTATATATTGGTTCGCAGCTAAATACTGGAATGTCACAGATGGATAGGTTTGATTTTGAATTGACATAAACAAAGGGCATATCCATTTTATCCTATCAATTAAAAAACCTACTGCTGATATATATCGCTGTCATTTTTTGGGTGATTTAGTTTTGCCTTTTTATATCTTTTCCAATTGGCATCAACTTATCTACCTTGTATCTGTTCTATTGTACTTTTTTATTAGTTTTACACTGATGCTAAGCTTCAATTTCACTGTTACAAAACAAGTTCTTCACTGAAGTAGGAAGAAACATTGAAGCATTATTTGACTGACTAACAAGCCATATTGAAAGAGGACTGCATCTTTTTCAAGGCCAAACTCCTTTGCCTGCCTCCCTCTTCCATGCACTTAAGTGGGTCTATCATTATTCAGAATTTTAATAGTGGATGTTGAAGCAGTAGTAACTATACATACTGTGGGCCCCCAGCTAAACATAGGTTGTTGTACTGTATTATGATGAGGCCATGCTATTAAAAGCAAACATTCACTCTAAGCATCTGTTTTCCAATTCTGTTCATTCAGAATAATTATTAACAGACAGAGATTACTTACTGTATCAACATTATTAACAGGGGAAAAAAGAGTGTTGACAGAAAGGGGTGATTGTCTTTAAAACTAGGTCTATACACAATGTCAGTATGTGTCATCTTCATTTGCTGTGTAAAATGGTATTCCAGCTAGTCTGGGGCCGTGTGTATGACAGCATGGTGTTCATTAGCGTCACGATAACAGAATCTGCTTCCTTTCTGTGGTGTTGCAGAGTCATGTGGCCATCCACAGGCCTGTGTGGGGC